GTGCTGAGTGCATCACGTGGACTGCCTCGGGCCACATTCACAGCATGTCCGCAGGGCCAGAGGGATTACCATCCCCCTATTATAGGCATGGAAATATGGTACAAAGGGATTCAACAGACAGCAGCCCAGAGGAGCGGAGTGACCCGCCCCAGGTGCAACAGCAAAGATGTAACAAAGCCAGAATTTAAACCAGAGCTGTCTCATCTCCAGAGCCCAGGCCTGAACCAGAAGGCATGGGGCTCTGAAACCTTCTTGCACGTCCCACTCAGTGCAAAAGATCCCACCGCTCTCGGACCCACTGTTCTCACTTTCCAGGGGAGAAAGCACTCAGCGACAACAAACAGAACTGGGGAGAAACAAAATAACAATCAAAGTGGCAAAAATGCCCAAATAAACATGGCTCAGCTCATGGCAAAAGCAAAACTTAATAGTGAACCTACAAATACTTCGATTAATACAAGCAGAGCAGCAATCAAAGACCACAGAGAGTGCAGGATAATGCTGATGAGCTCCTGATTAGAAAGTCGCATGGTTTAGGTGTTCAGGATTTCCAGCTCTTTTCACGGGCATGTGCACAGTAGGAGTTTTGCAAGGTTGCTAAGCAACGTCTGGCAACCAGACTCCAGAGTGGATCGCTCATTATGAGTCCTTGGTAACTCTAGTAAGGCAGTCATTTTAGTTCATGAAAGACAAATTTTAGAAACCCTTAATAACTCATATAATAGGTTACTAATAAGTGGCCCTTAGCCATACATAAAAAATGCAGATCTATAACTGCCCAGCTTTCACTTGTAAGAACTAAAGACTCGTACTTTTGAGATTCATCATTCATTTATTCAACACATACTTGTTGAAAACGTACTATGTGCCAGGCGCTGTTCTATGCTATGGGGAAGAGGCCCCTGACAGTTCACCAGTGAACTACAGACTATACACCAAAAAACCACAGACTATACTAGAATTCTACTTTTAGGAAAATGAGGCCCAGAGAGGTAGAGCAATCTGTTCAGTGTTGCACAGCACACTGGAGGCGGATATGTTCAGCTGCTCACGTCCAGGCCAGTAGGCTCGGCGGGAGAACACTGCTTCCCGGAAAGGCCACGTCCCCATGGTTGGTCAAGAGAGGCCCCATGATCCACCAGCTTGCCCCCGGTCCGCTGAGCTAGCCCCGAGGGCTGGCAGTACCAGGATGCAGGGCTTGGCTGTTGAGCATCTTGGAAAGTCTCCCACTTGACCTCAGGACCTCTGTGGTCAAGTAAGGGAAAGCCTATGACACGGTGTTGGTTTTTATTGGACCCAACCACCGGCGAAGCTTGCCGTCATCTGGAGTGATGGAGAAAATTAAGTTACCACATTCTCACGTTTCAGCCTTTAGCCCGTATTCCTTCGCAAACAGGAAATGTTTATTTAAATACAGCAGTCTCCAGCATGTTCCAGAGCCAAGTGAAAAACCAAAGATGTCCACTCTTGCCCCGCTCCACTGTTCAGGCCACCACCTCGCTGCGGGTGAGAAGTAGGCCTCTGCCTGCCTTTAGGCAGGACGAGGCAAAGGGGCCCTGCGTGACAGTTCATTTTCATCTGTCTCCTCTTTTTCCAGGCCGAGATTGTGGTTGGAGAAGAATTACATCTGTGGGCTCCTTTTGTACTCAGAAGGGTAAACGCAACATCTGTTTACTCTGTGCTCCATGGTAAATGTTTTGTTTCAGGCACCACCATTCACTTCCTCTCCCCTTGTCCTCTCTCTTTGCTCCACGGATAATAAATTACACTGAATTCTCCTCTGCATTTATTTAGCTTTCTTGTGGGTGTCACCTCCCCATTGAGGGGGAAAAAAAAAATGTCGGTAGTTTATAAACAACAGAGAGTTTCTCTGTGTGATGTGCTGACATTATGGAGAATATGCTAGAACACAGACCCCTAGCTCTGATACCAGCTTAATTATGAACAATTTAACAGGCCCCATTCCAGGCCTGAAGCAAAGTCCAAATGGTGACCACATTATCCCATTATCCTCATGGACGTTTGCTTTAATGGCGTGCCATGGGTGGACAAGGCCTCACGAGTCAACACTACCAGAGCAACAAACCCTCCCTCCCCCCACACACACACCTCTTCATAAAAGCCTCTTCGGGAGACAGAACAGCAGGAACAGAGAAGGGAGAAAATGTTTCCTCTTTGTTATAAAACACAACATAAACATTTGAGATCAGAAAATGGATCTTAGGAAGGTCCCGAGCATCTGACGGCAGCGCTGACAAAGCTTAGCCACATGAAAAAAATGAGCCCTGAGAAGTTTAAGGGCTCACTGAAGGAAAGTTCCTTCTTCCGTCGTTTGCTTACATTCTTTAAGTTGGATCGCTGGTTTTCTTCTGTATATGCCATGATTTTATACACAGTTACTGGAATGCAGTGGACACTCAAGTCATGTTTGTTGAATGAATGAAGGGAGGAATGAATGAAAAATTCCTCACTAAAGAAATCCTTAGCATAGCTCAGAAATGCCACAGCCCCACAAGAGTTTGCAAAATTGTAATGTTACAGGTGAGTTGACTGAGACAGGGTGTGGGGTGATGAAGGAGTATTGGGACTCTTGGGAGGCCGCACCTAATCCCTGCAGTAACTCTGACCCAGCCTGCTTGTAAAGGCTGCCCCCTCTCCTGGGGAGGGAAGAGACTAGAATGAGAAGCCAGCCGCATCACCCCAACGCACCCCAACCAAAAAGACATCAGTGACCAGAACAAAGGCAGAGGAGACTCAGATATTCCAAAGCACCTCCTACTTCGCCAATGCCTGCCGGTGGCCATGGCAGCAGGGGGCCCATGGGAACGCCCAGGACTCTACCCGGTCTCTTCAATTATAGAGCAGATGGGCAGCCCCCAGCTGCCTGGGTCTCCTGGGAGAGGTAGCACGGTGGCATGCTGGCTGCAATGCTGTGCCTGCAGCTTTTGAAGACCTCCTACATGCTAGAAGGAGAGGGGCCCACTCTCCTTGGTGTCTCAAACATGCAACACGATTCTGAATATCAAAGAGAAGTAGACTCAAGACCCCAAAAGGAGAGCTAATGTCAAGGCAAGTCAAATGTTTGCAGGGTGTATCTGAAGCAGCAGCAACTGCTGCCTATTTTAAGACCCCAGCCCACAGAGAACCCTCCCAGGACCGTCTACTTATAGATCTTGGCCCAAGCTGAACCTTGTTCCAAGGATGTCCAGCAGCGTGGTAGGGGGTATGGACTTAGGAGCCAGACGTGCTCGAGTTCAGACACTTAACTAGCTACTACATGACCTTGAACAAATGACAAAAAGGCTTAACTGTAAAGTGGAATAATAAGCATTACCTTTGTAACTAATGATCATTGTAGAGATTCAGTAAGATAACACATGTAAACAAACTGAGGCACAGAAAGCATTCATTAAACATTAGCTACAGTTATTATTTCACTAACTCATGTGGCTGGCCCTGGTGTTGAGGAGGGAGAGGAATTTAGCTTATAAGTTACAGGTTTCCCAAAATACCCTAAAACAAGATTTTCGCTGGCATGGTAGACTATAATGTCTGAGTTAAGCTGTAGAAACCTGGATTCTGCCCTTTTATTGCCATCCCCTTGCTGTGTGACCTTAGGCAAGTCATTTCACATCTCTGAGCCTCGTTTTCTACACATATTCATGAAGGTTCAGCTCTAACCCTCAAGGATTGTTTGGTTCAACCCCACAGAATAATCACTGCACTTGAAAAAAATGTCTTGAGCCAAAGGAAAGCTCCAGGAAAAAGGCAGTTCTACTGAGTCTCCGCTCAGGGACACATAAAAAGTAAGCGGAAGAGAAGAGGAGTGACAGGAGGTGATTAACAGGAATAACACACTCTAGGACAATACATCTTAGTCTCTGGCCCACTCTCCTCCAGATGAAAGTCAAGAAGGCAGAATCTTGAAAACCCATGCACCTACTCTAAGACATGTGCAGAAGGGGGCAGCGGGAGAGCAAGGCATGCAGAAATCTACCAGCTAGAGCAAACCCTCACCCACTTCTGGGCTGTGTTCCCAGTCCAGTTCCAACCCCCTCTACCATTTCTCCCTCCTTCCCCACTCCCCAACTGCAGGCTAGGAAGAGCCCACCCCAGAGTCCAAGTTTTGAAATTGGTCCGAGGATCAAAATGATAAACGTTTCCAAAACGTTGACATATGAAAAGTAAATATTTGGTTGCACAATGGGGGTTAAAACGAGGGTCAATCCACCCCACTCTCCAAGCGCCTCTCCTCTTACTGCCAAGCCCAGGATCCGAGGCTGAGTGCGGTTTGTAAGATTATAGCGCTGGGTCTCATTTAAAGGGCTGTCAGCATTTCCATTCTCCGGCCCGTTTGGGGAGGCATTTATAACCGAGCCATAAAAAATTCACCGGGCCTGCAACTTGGCATCTCCGAGGCCGCGCTCCAGGCAGGGCGGGTTTTGCAAGCACCCACTCTGAATTGGTTCGGTTCCTCAGAAGTTAGACCTTCAGACACACTCTCAACTTTCCTCGCAAGGGCAGCCAGAGAGCGGCTGGCCCATTCTGATCTCCAAGCCGGTCACAGTTTCTCAGGCTGTCTCTCCTGTCTCCGTGCCCTGACGCCCCATCACCCTTCAGCTTTCTCCTTCGCCCCCTCTTTAATGAGCGCGGACCCCTTACCCTCACCCTACGACCTCCCTGTCTGCAGTGTCATCTCTCCTCGCCTCCTGCCAGCATTCTCCTTGGAAGCTGTCAGCTGGCCCTGCGTCTGGCACTCTCACCCCTGGAGAGACACTGCTCTTTGCTCATCACTGGGGTCCTCGAGACCTCTCTCCCCAGACCTGCCCAAAGCCACAGACCCCCAACTCAGAGAGTGAAGGACCCGATGCAGAAGAGGGTGAAGGCAGAGAATGCAACTAGCGCGGCCAAGGAGAAGGAAGGATCTGGCGCCGGGGGGGCCCCTCTGTGGGACCCAGGTGGGTGGCCCGGGTGAGGCAGGGCGGGGCGGGGGTACTCACAGGCGCTCGGCGTTGCGGGGGATGCCCCGGGGAACCGCCCGGAGGCCCAGCCCGTGGCAGTCCACGCTGGCGGCGGAGCAGGTACACTTGGTGGGGCAGGCGGCAGCGGGGGGGCCGCTCAGAACACTCGCCAGCGCGAAGGCCAGCACCAGGCGGGCGCGCACCGCGGCGCCTTCCTCCGTCCGCCCGGGGGCCATAGTGTGCAGGGGTCCGCGCCCGGAGGAGGTTGCCTCGGCGGGGCAAGACGCGTGGAGCCCACGGAGGTGCGCTGGGAGCACGGGCGGCCTGGGGAGCGAGCGGCTGAGTTGGCGCGGAGGAGGAGCGAGCTCGGCGCTCAGGCGCACGGGGCGCGGGCGGAGCGGGGCGCGCCGGGCGGCGGCGGCGGCAGCAGCAGCTCCATCGGCGGGGCCGGCGCTGCCCCGCTGCGCATTGCTCGGAGTGCCCAGGTGCCGAGCGCCCCCTGGCCCCGCTGGCCCGCGGCCCGGGGCGCGGGCCGGGTTGGGGACCTGGAGCGAGCGCAGTGAGGCACGGGCGCCCCGGGAGGTTCGGCTTGGGGCTGGGCTCGGGAGCGCGGCGGCGGTGGCGGCGGCTGAGGCACGGGGCGACCGGGTGAGCTGGCCGGCGCTCGCTCTCTCCATTCACTGAGCCGGGCAGACACCGGAGACGTGGGGCCCACCCCTCCCGCCCCCCAAAAACGCCAGCTCCGCCTCCCATTGGCTGCGCCGCGCGTCATGTCGACTAAGTTGGGAACTTTGCTGGAGCAACCGAGAGCTCGAAGGGAGGAGGCAACGGAGGAGGGAGCTCGGCCAGCAGGGCCCCAGAATTGAGGCTTACTCACTCTGAGGAGCCAAGGACTGATCAGTCTGGTGTCCCTGAGCTGCGCATGCTACTCAATATTCTTTCCTTCTGTCCCAACACCGTCCCGCAAGGGGGCATTTGAGTACCCCGACCTTATAGATAAAAACTCAAAGTTCGGAGAAGTGAAGTGACTTGCCTGGTCACAGCCACGAGGGACCCCAAGCCGCGGCCCTCTCATTCACCCATGTTTCACTTCACAGCCCATCGAAGCCCATCAAGCTACCTCATCTACAAAGATCCTACCTCATCTTGGCCAAGATCCACTTCTTCCCGAAGGACCTACTCTATTGACATTACTGCACTCCGCGGTCACAAATGTCACAGAAAGTGGTCATCTGAGTGGTTCAGGTCGCTGCTGGTAAACCCTACCCGTAGGTCTGTCCTTCTTTGCCCAACCCCAATGCCTGCTGTGCTGTAAAAGTAGGGATGGCAGGGCCTTGGACCCCTGGATTGACAATGCTGTGTTCCTAGTCCGTGAGCTTCTGCCTCCTGACCAGGTGACTCTGGGTCAATCGTGTCACCACTGGGCTTTGATTTCCTCAAAACAAGGAGGCCACAGCCCTGTCTGGGCCCACCTCACTGGGCTGTTCGGGGCATCAAAGAAGAGAAAGTGTTTTTTTCAAAAGAGTCATTTGCATGCAAGGCATCCCTCTGCCCCCCCCCCCCACCACCATGCCTTCCTCTTCCAGTGGCCGCTCAAAATTGGCCAGGTCTGAGCTTTTCCAGATGCTGTGGGGAGGGGCGTGTGTTAGAGGCTCCATAAATACTTGTAGGAATGATTCTGTTTGTTTGTTTGGAGGGAGAGGGCAGGAACTGGAGGAAGTATTGCCCAGACTTCCTTGAGGTCTGCTCACACTGGAAAAATCTGAATGAGCCCTGTACACACACACACACACCATCACATATATCCACTTGTACACAAACATGCTTACACACTCACTCTTAGACACATTCACACTCGATCACATATAACACATGTGCACATGCACGCTCACACACACACTCACATACCCCGTGTCGTTGACAACAACTCCGCTCCTGAGAGTTCTTCCCTTGTCTTTCACATAAATGCTATTCTGATTCCTTCTACTTCATTTTCCTTCAAAGGAACTTTGAACTGCTTGGACCACATTCTGTGAATATATAGTAAAGGTGCAGATTTTATTTTATTGTACTTAGCAGATTTTCAAAGTTTCAGCTGCAGGCTCCCAACTGTACGTACACACACGCACACGCACACACTTCAGCCCCTCCATTATTCATAAACACATTAGGTGCAACTTACTGCTGTTATTCTTGGGAGCAGCTTTCAGTACAGATGCTGTTGTCATCGCCCTCTGGTGGTCATAGAGGGTCTAGGGGTGACTTCAGCATTTAAGAACTCTAAACATCCTTGCCTCTGAAGCTTTCCTCCAAACCTTGAACCAATTTAGTACCAGGACTGAGGCAGATGAGAGAACTGGGCAAAGGCCCAAGGGCACACAAGCGTCTCAGACTGTCTGGGGCAGAAAAGCGTAGGGTTTTCTTTGTTTTCCCAAATGCACACTAGAGCATGTTTTGCAATCCCTTCAGGCTGGGCCTGGGTCTGGGCTGTAAGCACAGTGTATGTGTGTGTATGTGTGTGTGTGTTGGGGTGATGTGGGTTACTTTCCATTTAAGCTGCTGGGAGGGGGATTCATGAACCTGACTAGATCTTTAAGTGACTTCACAGGCATTCAAGTTTGCTTTTCCCTGGGAGAGCCACCTTAGAACAGAACCCAGAGTCAATTAACCCAAGGAAGGAGCAAATGGAAGAAACAGGAGGTGCACAGGACACTGGAAGCCCAGAATCATGGAGTATTTGGGCTGGAACAACCTTAGACATCACCTAATCCAGCATCTCTACAAGTGTCTTCTGATGATGACTAGTTCCACATGTTTCTTCATGGGGGGGAAAAGCTTCCTTGTGCAAAAAAAGAGTAAGAAATGCTGTTCGCGTTCACCTCTCCTGGTGACTGCATCACAGATAAGTGTATTTAAGAGTCCTAAAATAAAGAAAGTGGCTTAAAGTTTGTTTAATTCAGTTTCCCAGTATCGCGGGCCCTTTTACGTGTAAACTTAATACTCTTTTGGAATTTTTGGAGAACCCCCAATAAAATTCAACGCTTGTATTTAATAACATGGAAACTAAGTCTCGGAGAGGGGAGGGCACTGATGCAAAGTCACCCAGCTGACCAATGAGAGAGCCAGAGCCAGAACCCAGGGCTCCCCATGCCTAGAATGGAGCTCCATCCACTGCCCGCCCTTCACTGATTCCAAGGAATCTGCAGAATGTGTCAGCCTCCCCATGGAAGAATTACTCTCCCTAGAGAAGTCTAAGTCCTTATGAGGTCAGGCTATTGGGTAGGACTTTTTATGTCTAAGTTCCAGAGATGGCTTTTATACTCTGTGGTATGAGTTTCAGAGTTCTACACAAGTCTCCTGGGATTTTTGGATTTTTTTCCAAATTAAAGAAAAATGTTCCCTTTACTTTTCCATAGACGTCTCAGAAGCAAACTACCCACCCATTCCCCCAGGAAAAGCCACCTCAGACTTTACCTGTTTTTTGTCTCTCGGTGTAAGGCACCACCATTCACATGGCCGCTGTAATCGCTTGAGGTTTTCTGGTTGCAGCAATAACTAACTAATTGAAGTAAAAAATATATATATGACTTTTTAAGCAGGCTTTTGGGTGGCATAAAAATTTAAGGGAAAAAATGAAGAGGAAGGTTTCAAGAAAGACAAGAACCAAGGCAGGAACCAGGTGCCAAGCCTAAGACTTCCAGGTACCTAGGAGGAAAAGACTGCTTGGCCTGCTTACATCACGTGATCACCCTCTTGGCCAGAAAAGACAAGAACCCATGGGTGATGGTTCTTTGCAAACTACACTCAGCAGGGCAGGCAGGAGTGGTGCTCTCAGAGGAAAATCGGGGAGCTATTAGCTAAGAAAAGTAAGGGGAGGCAAAACAGCACCGAAGCATCTTCCCTCTGCCTCATACCACAGCCATTCAGTTCCTGAGTCCTGTTAATTCTTCCCCATGATTATCTTCTGAATATGTCCCCTCTTCATCTTTGGTCCTCCTGCCACTGTTCAGATCCTGTTTTCATACCTGGCCGTTGTTCACATTGGTCCCCACATTAATTCTCTAACTTTGTTTTGCTCTAACAATCCATCTTTTGCTCTGACGATCAAGGGACCTTTCTAAAATGCAGATCTGACAGTGCAATCTTGAACCTTGAAATAGATTTCTGTCATTGCCACCTCATCTCCCACCACTCTCCCCACACCCACTCAACATCCCTCCTGTAACATCCTTTCCTGTTCTTTCCTATCTGGCTCCCCCAGAGTCAGTTTAGCTGTCAATTTCTCTATGAAACCTTGCTGGGCCACACTATTAGATTCTCTAGGGCAGTCACCATATATAATCCATTTGTTACAACATTTTATTATAAAATTTTTCAAACATTCAGAGACATCTAATCCATTTTTGCATGCTTGATGCCTAGAGGTACAAATAAATCTTTGACATTTGATGAATGAATAAATGAACAAATCCATGAATGAATGATCTTCCCAATCAGCTAGCATATGTGATAGTCTTTTGTTGTAGTTTTACTTACTTTGATCAACATTGCTTGATCTTTGGGGGAGAAAGAGGTTACATTCTTTCAGAATTTCTGGGAGGGTTTTTTGCTAACTATATACACTCTCTCTTTATGATATCTTTTCTCCTACCCTACTGAAACTTAGCATTTATGCTGGTCATTCTCTAATGGATTGCCCAGATCACTCTCTGCCCACTGTCACCCGGTTCTATTCCCAAGGAGGCTGACCTTAATGGACTGTATCACCTGCACTTCCTTGGGTCTGGTCATGTGGGGAACTAGCAGGATATCTGAGAGCTGGAGGAGGGAGGCCAGGGCTTCCTCCACAAGGGCTTCAGTCTGGCAGTGGCTGCCTTCCTTGGCTGAAGGTCATAATTCATGTCCTCTAGACCTCCTAGTCCCATCCCCTTGCCTCTTTGGGGGTAGGAGTAAGAACAGCTTCCTGTTATGGTAAACCTGGCAGTCCCCATCCCTTGTTGATTCCTTAACCTTTGCCTCATCTTTCTAAATAGTCCCCTTATTAAACTTTCTGCAGTTACTCCTTCGAGTTGTGTCATCCATTTCCAACCAGGGACCCTGAAACTAACACACTACTCACTGAGCCAGTAAAGCAGATCTCTGAGGAGTAGTTGAAAAGGGAGGGGAGGGAGAGACGATGAAAACTCCAATTTGAGATTAAGGCTGTGATCCCTATTAAATGCTCCTGGGAGAGAGAACAATGCATGTATGTGAATTTTAGGTCCTTTCTGGAGAACAGGTTTAAGGGAAAGGTACCATCAATCAGACCATGTTTTTCAATGCAAAGTCTTCTTTCTCTCTCCTCTGAGAAAGAAAGAACAATAAAGGTTTACTGACAGTTAATCTATTGAGCCTCCCCAAGGAGCAGGATCCACTCTGACTAGATAAAGATTTGATGAATGAAGATCTAATTTAAAAATAATCTATTTTGGGGGCTTCCCTGGTGGTGCAGTGGTTGAGAGTCCGCCTGCCGATGCAGGGGACACGGGTTCGTGCCCCGGTCCGGGAAGATCCCCCATGCCGCAGAGCGGCTGGGCCCGTGAGCCATGGCTGCTGAGCCTGCGCGTCCGGAGCCTGTGCTCCACAACGGGAGAGGCCGCAGCAGTGAGAGGCCCACATACCACAAA